AGGTTTGGGTGCTTTCATCTGCTCTGGTCACACCCCTGACGCTCATACCTGGGGCATCTGCAGGGTTCCAGGGAAGGATTTCTGGGCAGTTTGAGCTCAGTCCAGCAGTTTCTCAGACACAGAGCCCTGGGGCCAAGGGGCCACAGACATGGGTCAAAGCGCTTCTGAACTCAGACATAGCCATATTCTTCAGCCTTGAGTGGCCTGACCCTGCTGCCTTCTACCCCATCTCCTATCTCTACCTGCCCCCTTCTCTTCCCTCTGGCCCCCTTTTCTCATGGTTAAATTGCAGGCACTGGCAAGTCTATGGGAAAGGTGATTTGTGTGTGATGTGGAGGGAAGGGTGGGGTGAGGCATCTGTCATCACATCTGGGTCCCAGATGTGTTGGGTAAGGATACTGCCCCATGCCCCGTCCATTGCAGTTTACAAGGGGCTTCTATCCAGCATCTTGTATGACCCTCACAATAACCGGAACAAGTGGGTAGGACTGGGATCCTGATCCCCATGGCACTGATGAGGAAGAGGAGGTTCAGAGAGGGATGTGACTTGTGTGAAGTCACACCACAAGTGATTTCTGGTTCCATATGAGCCCAGTTTTCTGTGAACAACCCATGCCTGGGGTGGGAGTAGGAGGAGCCAATGCCCTCTCTGAGTGAAGGACCACCCAGCTTGGGCATGATTCTAGGGAGGTGGGGCCATGGAGATGCAGGACCTCTCAGCCTGAGTCCCATTTTGCTGTGTGACCATGGGTAGCTCTTTTCCCCCTCAGGTTCTGTTTCTCATCCATTTGGGGAAGGCCTGAATGTGATAACTTCCACGTCCTTGTTGTCCAAAGCCTCTGACCCTGGCACCCAGGAGGAGAGGACATGCCATGAGGGAGGGAGAGAGAGAGAGATGGATCTCGGGGAGGGTGGAACCCAGGACTTGAGGTTGTGGGGCCCAGCTGGGTGGGCCGGATGAAGGATGAGTTTGGGAGGGGGGTGGAGAAGCAGTGTGCCATCAGGGAAGTCACTTCCCCATCTGCCAAATGGGGTCATCATGAAGGTCCCAACCCAGCATGTAGGACAAACCTCAGTCTTTTCCTCTCCACTGCTGACCCCTGGGCCTGGGCCTTGTTGCTGCAGGCCAGGGTGGTCCAGGCAGCCCATGGGAGGTTGTCAGACCTGACCTTGGTTCTAGCTGCTTTGGCTGGCTGACCTCTGTTGGCCCAAGGGAGGAGGAGTGTGGGGGTGTCCTTCCAGCGTGGACAGCCCAGGAAGTACTGGCACCTCAGCCAAGAGATGACTGAGATGACAAAAAGAGCCAGGGCTTGGGAGCCACCAGGTCTGGCTCTGATACTTAGTGGCTGTAAGACCTTGGGCAAGTCACCTAGGACCTCGCTGAGCCTTGATTTCTTCCTCTGTAAAGCAGGTGCCCATCTTAGGGTGCCGTGGGGCTGGGATGACATGAGGACAGTGAGGAACAATGCACCCAGTTTCGTGCTCTGAGAGAACCAGCTGGAGGCTGCGGATCAAGGCCCCGTTGACCCTTCTGCCCCCGCCCCCAACCTCCCCAGTCTGGACCCCTTGGAGTCAGCCTGGAGTCCAGACGAGCAGATGCCCCACCCAGTTTGAAGAAAGCTGGGGGAGGACTAAGCAGTGGCTCCCCATGCTGCCCCAGTCCCTGCTCACTGAGCCACAGCTTAAAATGAAAGGCTCCTGCTCCCTTACTTAATCCTAGAGGGTCCAGGCATCAGCCTGGTGGTAGGATTTGCTGAAGGGAGAAGCTGATGAGAGTTCAGGGAGCTGGCTGGGAGCTGGGGCACCCACTTTGAACTGTTTATGGTTTTCTTTGCTGCTCACCCCTATCTCTGGCTGGCAGCTTTCCCAGATTAGCTGCTGACATCAGGAGCTGCCAGCTGGGCCGGCCTAGCACTGCCAAGGGGAGGTTTATGAAGGGCTATTTGGTAGTGGGGTGCAGTCGGGAAGGGGACACATGTCCAGCTTTGGAAACTTGTGCTCCAGGGAGCTGGGGCAGTGAGGGGGAAGGGAGTTAATGAGCTGCATTGCATCAGACACTCACATGCTATCTGTGTAGCACATCTCATTGTACAGAGAGGGAAGTAGCTCAGGGCAGTGGGGTAACTAGCCCAAGGCCACACAGCTGGTCTGACGCTGGCTGCAACCCACACCTTCCAGTGGACACCCCTCCCTGGTGGCTGACAGCTGCTAGGACTGGCTGTGATTACTTCAGTGTAGGTCAGTACTATCTACTTCATTGCCATAGTGGCAGTTGCCGTGTGCCGAGGATCCATCCTGTGCCAGGTGCCTTACGTGATCCTCCTAACAGCCTCAGGAGGCTGATGTCCCATCCTACAGATGAAAAAATGGAATCCTAGAGAGAGAAGTAACTTTTGTCCAAGATCATAACCCAAATTGGTGATGGAAGCAGGTTGTGAACTCAGGACTAACACCAAAGCTGGTATTCCTACCTGCCACACACTTGGCAGAGAATTCACGGCTTTGACATATCTTAAACCCACGGCCCCTGTGCTTCCCATGGCTGCACAAATCTCTGCTTTGAGTGAGAGCATTTGTATGCAGAGTAGAAAATGCAGTGGGTTAAATCACTGGAGAGCAACAGACCTCAGGGAAGGACTTCGTAGGCCCAGTTGGGTCACATGCTTAACCCCTGACCAATCAACTGTGTCCAGGGCTACGATCAGACAGACCACAGGGACGGACATGAGGGTGGGCAAGGACTTTGCCTAAAGGTTTGACTCCTGGGGCCAAAGGTTTTGCTTTCAATTATATCCGTCTCAGCTGGCTCCTTGGCATCCTATCCCCAACATCAGGGAAAAGAGGACAGAGGTGTCAGAGTTCCAGTCATCCTGGATCCTCTCATAACTGCTTTGTGTCTCATCCCTTTGGCCAGCTGGACAGGCTGTGTCTGCAGGGGGAACTGATCAGTGTCAGAAGTGACCCATAAGACTCTCGGCTCTGTGCCAAATTTGCATGTGAATGTTGGGGACAAGTGACATCCATTCACCCTCCTGCTCTTAGCTTACATGCCACCCACAGAGAAGTCTTACCTGACCCCTGCAATATAATCAGTCTCTTTCCCAGCTCCCCAGTCTTCTCAGTCGCACCACTCACCACCATCCGCCATTCTCTATTTTTGTCCGTCTAATGTTTGTCTTTCCTAGCAGATTGAGAGGAGGAGGCAGGGCTGACATGAAATAGACATCTAATAAATATTTGCTGAATGAAGTTTCTCTATACTTTGATTTTCCCATCTGTGCAATGGGGTAGTATCTCCCATGTGAAGTTTAAATAAGACAGTGGCTCAAGCACCCTGCTCAGGCCTGGGATGGAGAGTAGGTGCTCATGATACTGGGAGCTGGAGTGAGGGTGAGAATGAACTCAGAGGCTGAGAGTGGAGGGTGCTGCAAGCTGTCAGGAGGTGAGCAGACCCAAGCGTGTAGTTGGTTCAAAGGCTGAGTGACATTGCCCTGATCCCAGGGCAGAGAACAGCCCAACTGTCAGTTACCGTTCTGGGAATTTGTCACCCCATCCCCCACTCTGGGTTTGAATTTTAAGTCTACTGCTGTGACTTGGGGCACATCACCTTGCCTTTCTGGGCCTCAATATTTAATTTGAAAAATGGCCATTTGAAAGAGTCCACCTCACCAGCCCTTGTCTCCAAACTTCAAATGTATTTTTACCTCTTAGAAACAAAATTTCAAATGGTTCCTGGTCCCTCAAACCACAGGCAGCTCCAGGCCTTGCTGAGGAAACAGGCACCACCAGCTCCACACCAAGGAAAGAGGAGTGAAGGGGTCAAGGGAAGGGTGGAGCTGCAGAAAGAGGGAGCTGCAGCAAGAACTGCCAAGAGTGGTGCACCCCATTTCCCCCCGCCCCCTGGATGAGAGCTCCTGGGGAACTCAGGCCAGTTGAGCAGGGGACACAGGGACACCAATGCTGAGTGAATCGGCAATGATAGTGCTGGTGCCCTGCAAGAGGCTGCACCCTTGTGTACAAACTTATCTTTTAATTGTGAAAGTCTCATGGCCACAGACAGAAAATATGGCAAAAGGAAAAAAGGAAAGCCCCCAGAATCCCACCACCTGAACCCAATTTTTCTATCCTATAATATCCTGGCTCTCACTTGACAGATTGAGCCCTCAAGAAGTCCCAGAGCAGATTAGTGAGAAAGTTGGAAAGATAACTGTGCCAGTTTGCTTGCAAGTGACTAGAATTTAGCTCGAACCACTTTAAGTGAAAAAGCAGAAAGTTACTCCTTACGCAAAGAATACAAATATGGCAAGGGTAGGGGTGCAGCTGCATCTCAGGAACATGAGGACCTGATCCATCTCTTCTGTGCTGCTCGTAGGAAGGAGGTCCTTTGTCATGGCTCCCTGCAAAATGGCTTTTTCCACATAGCAGAAATTATGACGATCATTAGTCCTCAAGATTACTGATTTCCACTTTTTTTTTTTTTTTTTTTAAAGATGCCCGGTAAGGGGATCTCAACCCTTGGCTTGGTGTTGTCAGCACCACGCTCAGCCAGTGAGCAAACCGGCCATCCCTATATAGGATCCGAACCCGTGGCCTTGGTGTTATCAGCACCGCACTCTACCGAGTGAGCCATGGACCGGCCTCTATCCTTTCTATTTTCTTCCTTTTTTTTTTTTTTTCATAGTTGCCATTAAGTATTCCACTTGGGAACACTTTTCACAGTTCCCTTTCTACTAGTTGTACAGTACTTTTAACTGTTCAAACTGCTTTTGGTCTGATATCTGTCCTTCCTCAATATAAGCAGGGCAGAAATGACTTCTGACAGATGACAAAACTGAGAGGTTAGGTGACTTGGCCAAGGACATCAGATTGGTGATGAAGGCGATGCGTGGGATGGATTCTAATGAGATACGTTTTTCTGGCTTGATTCTCAGGCTCCTAGGACAACAAGCAGAGAGCGGAAACACAGGAAGGGGGGAAGGACAGAAAAGACAGTCCCAAAATGCTCATCTCAAAATATTTAATTTTGTTTGAAAAGGATACATTCCCGGCTTCCCTCCCCACCACATCACTCCGGCCCACCAGCAGTGACACACTCGCACGCACACACGCACATAAGGCCAATGGGCTACGGTCTGCTTCTGCCCTCTCCAGCTGGGAAGAAGCAATTTTTTCCTTGCCTCTTTCCCCCAACAAAGGTAAAGGAGAGAGGGGCCCGCTGGAATGCCAGCTCCCAGGGGAGGACACAGAGCCCCACACACTCTATCACATCACATGCACTTAGAAAAATAAAACCAAGTGGTGTTCTGGCATCCCCAACACAAGATAGCAATATCCACCTGGAAGTCATCTTTGCCATTTTCTAGAAAAATTTATTGCACTTAATTAACAGATGTTAAAGGAGCTCTGGGGTGGAGCTTTACTATGAAAACCAGGGGCTCCTTGGCCCTCTGTGTTACAGGGAACATAGCTCCCAGGGCCCTTGGGTGGAGAGCTGCCCAGCACAAAGGGGCCTTCCTCCACAGGCTCTGTGCCTGCTGCCCTGCTTCAGGCAGGAGGATTGCAGGAGCCACCTGCCCAGGGCCACAGCAGCCCCTTTCAGCAGGGTGATGTGTACTCAGAGTTAAGGTTCACTGCTAAGTGCCTTCCCCAACCTCAGGAGCCAGATGGGCAAACCACATCCTTCGGCTAAGGGTAAGAGTGACCCAGGTCCTCCATAAGACTGCTGTCTACCTTGAAAACGCTCTCTCTCTAAACATATATATTTCTATCTAGATATACATTTATTATATGTATATTCTTGCAATGTTCTCGCTCATTCATGATCTGTCTGTTCTGCAGTTACAGTGAGGCTGCCTCGAAGCTGATGCTTAGGTAGTGAATGACACTTCCTGGCCCCTTGTGAACCCATGGGCCAAGTTTAAGTCAGCTTCTCTAGCCTCTGGTGCTTTTTAGATGTCAAAGATTTGAGCACAGGAAACAGTCTTCAACTGTTGGCCCCAAGATGGAGAAGGCTTAGGAGGAAGTCAAGGAGACTCCCATGACAGAAACCAAGCAGGAAACCTTCCACTTCCACAAGGACCTGATTCTTAGGCCAAGGGAGGAGACAATCTCACCTGTGCACTTTTCCCCAAAATGTCAACCTGTACAGACATCCTCCTTCCTGTCCCTGCAGGCTCCTGACTCAAAGGGGCTCTTTTAAAAGAGTCCAGCAGATGCATTATTTCCAAGTAAGCACTTTGGGAAGGAACCAGACACACACTGCCTAGGGCAAAGAAGGGGAGGGCACTGAACAGGCAGAAGGTGGGACAAAGAGGAGAGACACCAAGCCACCATCTCACCCACTAGGATCGGAGCATGGACATCATCCAGAAATTAAGAGTCCATCCTTTAAAAAAATAAAACTGGAAAAACACAAACCATACACTTTCTGGCCAAAGAAAATGAAGAGCTTTTAAGTGCGATGCTCTTCCACCAATAACAAAATGAGAACTACCCTCTCGGTGAGTAGCCAGACCAGAGGGAGAGTGCCCGGGTGGGCAAGCTGCCCGGGGCAGGACACTGACATGCTGGATGCTCCTGCCCTATGTTGTTACAATAGAGTGAAAAGTGTATACATTGTTTTCATAGAACCACAAAGTAAAAGTCAGGGGCCTGAAGGGAGGGGGTGACCTCCCTCAGCCTCAGGGACCCTTGTCAAGTCCCCAGAGAGGTGGGTGTGCAGGTTCCTGGAGGGCCGTGGCATTCCCCTGGGGTGCAAGTCCATGGCCAGTGGATGCTTTCCCAGGTCCTAACATCTGTTATGAAAAGTCTTTAGAGATTGGGGCCCGGGACTCTGAGCCACCACTTTAAATAAAGCCAGTGTTAAGTATGACAAAGCGCGCCCGTCATCTGTCTCCTCACCACAGGCTGCCCACCCTGAGCAAATAAACACCCATCTCAAGGGTGTCCCAACTGACCCAAATGAGCAGAGGAGTCCATGCATTTCCTCAATTAATCTGGGCACAGCAAAAGAACGAGTCCAGCCAGACATAAGAGAAAGGAGCAGCTGTGAGGCAAAGGAAGCCACAGCTGTGAGAATCCATCCATACCATGGCCAGGCTCATGGGGGTGGCCCCCGTCTCCTGGGACCAAGATTGAGGGGACTGTAGGCCTGTGTAAAAGTCCCAAGAGCCTGCCATCCCATAAGAGTTGCGCTGTGAACTCACAACCCTTGACCAGGTACCCTGTCCTGCTGACACCTTCTTGGCAGCTCACTTGGGAAGGATCCTGAAGCAAGAATTGGGAAGCCCTCTTCCGCCTACAGTGAGAGTGGACCCTGGCCTGGTCCACACTGGTGAGCAGAACAAGAAAAAAAAATGGGAGCCTCTCAAGGGACTTACCCCAGCTCTCATGACCACAGTGTAAGGGGGCTGTGGAAGCCAGTTTTCTAAACACCATGTGGAAGCTGTATCCTGGGATCCAGGAATTTAAAGCTTCCTAGATAAGGGGGGTTTTCCTTTTAAATCCAAGATCTCAGATTGGTTATTGGGTGAAAAAAACGAGCAGGCCCAGAATCCCAGTCTAGTGGGACAAATATGAGATTCAGGTGGCCTCCACCAGTGGCCTGGAGAGGAGGTGATGAAAAGGCCTCCCTCTGTACTGGCAGTTAGGGCACAGAAACGAGCCGCCCTGGGAGTCTCTTCTCCACAGTAATAGAGGCAGAGAAAGCCGACTGCCAGGGCCTCCTTCCTGGCTTCCAGACCTCAGGCTTCATAGCCACGAGAGGAAAGGGGTAAGAGAGCTAAGAACAGTTGGTGCACTTCTGCTGCAGGGCGCAGACCCAAGCTGTGCAGGGATACCACTCTTGTGGCCTTCCATCTATGCGGACACTAACGGAGGAGCTGGTGAGTCCTTCTACCCCCAAGGAAGATGGGAACGGATGTTCTCTTGAAGACTTTCTGGGGAAGGTGAGGTGCATGACACAACCCCAAGTGGAAATGTGCCCTGCTACCTGAGAAGACATAAGGGTGACAACAATCACAATTAATTCTGCAGAGACAGCCCTCGGCAGCCCAGGCTGAAGACTGAGGGAGAGTCAGGGAAGCCTGAGCGCCCTGTGAAAAGAGAGATTTGTACTCCAGAGGTCCCCTTCGATTCAACCAGGACATCCAAGAATAGAAACTAAGGCTGGTTCTCCCTCTACATAGATTCTCTTGCATTCCCTGCCAGTAAGGGAAAGTCGCCATGTGCGCTGGATGAGTTATAACGAAGCTGAGACATGAACGCTCCTGGAGCAGGTGCGCCGCCATGTGCCCATGACTAGTCATAAGTCTCCACGCATGTGTGGGGTTTCAGGGAGCCTCCAGGCAGAGCTCTGAGGTGCAGGCAGTGCCCCGCATCGGTGGGGGCGCAGGTTACAAGGGCCCGTACTTGGTCTCATACTTGGACACAATGGTCTTGCACTTGCCCACCTCCTTGCGTAGCTCGGCCACCTCCGTCCGCAGGGCTGTGTTCTCCTTCTCCAGGAAGGCCGCCCGGATGGTGATCTGGTTCTCCTTCAGACGCCGGGCATCCCGTGACCGTTTAGCTGCAACATTGTTCTTCTTGCGTCTTGTCCAGTATTTTTCATCCTGTGGGGAAGTACCCTCTGTGGGTCTCTCATCTTTCCCCACAAGGGAACCCAGTATTTTCCCTACCCACCATTCGTATTCCCCTCATAATTTATCTTGTGCAGATAGAACTAATGCTGGGACTTGGAGAAGGAGCCACATGTGCCAAGGCACGTGGAGAAGCAATGACCTTTCCTCAGGGGAGTGGATGAGAAGAAAAGTCCTTTGGTAGGTTACATGGTAGAGGGAACGAGACTCCATGTAACCACAATGTGCTGCTAGAGCATAAAGCATTCTTTATACCCTTGCCTCACTTTTTAAGCATTTTGGTTGTGGTTAAGCTCCTGTCCCCTGAGTTCAAATCTTGGCTCTGCAAGATTACTGGCTGTTGGTAAATTACAATGTGCCAATCAATCAATCAGTAAAGATAACCAGCAGTGGAACTATGCAACTCCCTTAACCTCTCAATGTCTCAGGTCCCTTATCTCCGCAATGGGGGATAATAAGAGTAACTACCTCACAGAGTAGCCTGAAGATTAAATGAGTTAATCTCAACAAAGCGCTTATAACAGTGCCTGGGCTACAGTAAGCACCATATAAATGTTTACCATTATCATCATCATCATTACTAAAGTCTCGCAAATCTCTCTGAGAGGAAGGTACAGTTATTCCCATTTTCAGATGAGTAACCTGAGGCATAGCTAGGCTGTAGGTGGTAAAGTGGGTTTTTTGTTTTGGTAGCTGGCCAGCATGGGGATCTGAACATTTGACCTTTGTGTTACAAGGCGGCACTCTAACCAACTGAGCTTAACTGGCCTGCCTTTTTTTTTTTTTTTTTTTTGTAAAGGGGGG